TGATTTTTGGGTCCCCCAAACTGGGGGGAAGCAGGGGGGACACACAAAGGGGGCAAATCCTTGTGCTGGAGGGTGATGCCCAGGTAGGATGGCATCTGTGGGTCAGTGTCACCCCCCCCTGGGGACATCCTTCCTTGTCCCCCCCCCAGGCTGGAGAGGGGGGGACACACGTGGAGTTCCCAGGTCAGGAGCCAAAATGCTTCGACGACATGGGACAATGGGTTTAAATAATTCACATTGTGGTAAACTTCATTCAAAAAAAAAAAAAAAGAAACGGGGGGAGGAGGAAGAAGAAGAAGAGGAGGAGGAGGAAGAAGAGGAGGAGGAGGAGGAGGAGGAGGAGGATGAGGAGGAAGAAGAGAGCAGTTACAATAAGGATACCATGTGCAAAACTGTAAACCAGGCAGAGGGTTGTTGTCTCTCCCTCCCTCCCTGGTGAAAAACCAAACCAGGGATGGTTCCTGCACCAAGATCCTCCACCGCTGCGGCCGCTAACGAGGTCGTTAACGAGGACGGGAGAGTAATTAGAGCCCCAACATGACGGGCAGGACACCAGGCACTGCTGCAGGGTCTCTCTCAGGGAGGGTTTTGGGGGTGTCCTCCCCCCTCCGGGGGCTCAGTCTCAGGAGGAGTCGCGGTCCATGCTGCAGCCCAGGGCCTCGATGTCGTTGCTGATGTGGGAGATCATCCGGTCCCACTCGTCCTCCTCGGAAGGGCCCGACTGGTCGTCGGAGCTGCCGGCGGCGCCGTTGCCGTTGGTGGTGGAGTTGGAGGTGGTGCTGAGCGTCCGTCTGTACCTCCCGAAACTGTCCGTGATGATGCCCCGCCCGTCCTTCACCCCGATGGTCTCCAGGAAGTTCTCAAAGTGTTGGCTGTCCTTCTCGGGGATGAAGGGACGAAGACCTTGGGAAGAAGAACACAAGGAAGAACCCATCAGCATCATCCTGTGTTTCGTAGGGGGCAAGGACAGAGGAGTGATGCCAGGGATGGGTTTCCACATGGATCTACTCGGTTGTCTGCAACTCCCTGGGGTTTCTGAGCCTTCCAGCAGAGCACAGCTCCAACATCAAGCCCACCTCAAGGGCTGTGTCCAGTTTTGGGCCCCTTAGGTCAAGACAGACATTGAGGGGCTGGAGCATGTCCAGAGAAGGGCAATGGAGCTGGTTTTCAGCAGCTCCACTTGGAAAAGAGGGTGAAAACCACACAACATTGCGTCTTGGTGCCAAAAAACATCTCCATTTTGGTCCCTGCACCATTGGAAAGCCCCCCTCCCCCCCCCTTGGTGCTGGCTCAGGGACCTGCCCACCCCACAGCTGGAGGAGATGCTCCAGGAGGTGGGACCGTCCTCCTGTCCTAACTCCAGATTGAGATTATTAAAGCCAAAATGAAGTCAAGGAGTTGGAGCGGGAGGGACTGGGAGCCCCCGGGGCTCTTGGGTTCCATTTAATGAAAGGGTCTTGTTAGAATAGAATTATGGAGCAGATGTATGGAATCGTTTTGGTTGGAGAAGACCTTGTAAGATCATCAAGTCCAACCCTTAACCCAGAACACCCAAGTCCACCACTAATCCATGTCCCTCAGCACCATGTTTACCCATCTTTTAAACACCCCCAGGGACGGGGATGTGGATTGTCCCCCTGCCAGGGGGTGCACCTTCCCTCCAGGACTGTGAAGTCTCCTCCAAGGACTCCAAGAACCTCCAAGGTTCAATATTTCCAGACAAATGACACATTCAATACCAGAATCACCCGGTGCAAGGGACCAGAACCCTCTCTCTTCCTACCAGCAGGCACGGAAGAGCCCAGTGGCTGGTCTGGAGGTGGTGCCCAGGCTCCCTCTGCAGTCAGGAGAGAGATGTGAACATCTCAAGGGATGACTCTGAGATGGGGGACCTGAGCTAGATGGACCCAGCTGCCCTCAGGAAGGAGGTATCTCCAAAAGAGAGTTGGCTTGAGATGTTGCTCCTCACTTGGTGACACCCCGAGGAACCTTTGTGCCACCTCCACCCCATCAGGCTGCCCACATGGAAGGTCAGGAGGGCTGAGGAGAAGACCAACGCTGGTTGTCCCCTTCCAGTTGGACATCCAGGATGAGTCCCCAGCAGCCAACACTCACCTAAGAGCAGGAACTTCCTGCTGTCCCCGTAGAGCTGCTTCAAGTTGATGCAGAACTCGTGGATGGAGGCCCCGTTGCGATACTCGTGCAGGAGCATCGCGAACTGCTGGATCTCCTGGGAGGAGAGTTTCGTTCGGAGCTGCAGGAGAGAAGCACAGCTTCAAAAATCAGTCATTTTTATATTTTTTTTTAGGAGGAAGAGGTGATGGGAAGGCTGGGAACGGGGTTTATTGGGATTTTAGTGCTGTTTGACAAGAGCTGCTGCAATGAAAAGCAGGACGGGCTGGTTCAACCACTGCTAAGCTGGCAGCTTCCAAACGGGGACAACGGGACAATGCAGGGACCATGACTCACAAAGTGACAGCGTGGATGGCGTGATGTGTCCTGAGGCTGGGAGAGGGGACAAGAGGGTGAGGACAACCCTGCAGGAGAAGGATGTGAGCCTACAGGCAGGTTCCGTGGGGCCTCCAAGCACAATTTGTATGAGGGGGAGGTTTAGGATGGATATTTAGAAGAATTTCTTCCTGGAAAGGGTTGGCAGAGGCTGCCCAGAGCAGTGGTGGGGTCACCATCCCTGGAGGTATCTAAAAGCCGGGCAGATGTGGTGCTGAGGGACATGGGTCAGTGGTGGGTTTGGTCAGTGTTGGGTTGATGGTTGGACTCGATGATCTGAGAGATCTTTTCCAACCTCAATGATTCTGTGACTCTATGAAAAGGAGGATGGGATGTTCCTACACCAGCACAGGCTCATGTTCTACACCCTAAAGGGAAGAACCACCCCCCCCCAAGGACACCCTACCGTCATCATGTAGTCCTGGAGCAGCTCCGTGGCCGTGGTGCTCAGCTCGCTCTCGCTCACCGTCTTGACGTGCGGAGACTGTTGCGTGGAGAAGGACGAGGGGGAGTTGTCACCTGCATCCAAGGTTTCTGGAAAGGAACTGAAAGGCAAAGAGAAGATGAATCCTCCAAAGCTCCTTGGGCACCTTCTGCATCATCATCACTGGAAGGTGTGGCCCAGGAGAGCCTGGAAGGGTGGAGGGGGACGTGGAGATGGGCTCTCTCTGCAATAAGGCTGGTGTCTGAAGGCTCCCACCACATGGAGATGGGAACTACATGGGTTTGGTGACCCACTGAAAATGAAGCCCTACGTGGGCATCAACCTCCTCCAACTACTTCCTCGTTTTGGAACACAAAATCCCAAACCACCTTATTTCGGTGTTAAACACGAAATTTTCCAACAGTCAATTTTAAACGAGTGGTTTGGGTGTAGCTTTTCAGCCCACAAAATGCTCCCGTTTTTGGTCCTCACCAAGTCAGGAGGCAAAAACCTTTCCAACACAAAGGGGAGTTTAGAGAAAACACCTCTCCCGACTCCAGGTGGACTTCCCCAAGGGAGAGCAGCTGGAGAAGACTACTCTTTTCAGTGGTTCCCAGTGAGAGGACAAGGGGCAATGGGCACAAGTTGGAACATAAGAGGTTCCACTTGAATATGAGGAAGAACTTTTTCATGGTGAGGGTGGCAGAGCCCTGGAACAGGCTGCCCAGGGAGGGTGTGGAGTCCCCTTCTTTGGAGATTTTCAAGACCTGCCTGGATGCCAGACCGAGCAGGAGCTTTTCAAATGTGCAGACGGTGGTGGTTCCTGCTCCGGGGAGGGGGAGGGAGGGGTTTAAACCCATCAGCAAGGCCGTGCTAATTGCTAATTAGGCTCCCAGGTTTCACTTACAAAGTGCTTGCTTCCGTCTCGTAAGATTCCTTCACGTCCACTTTCGTCGAGGAGTCGTCTGCAAGGAAAACAGTCGAGAGGTGGAGTTTGAGAGGCTTTTCCCAGCCCGTGACCTACCCAAAACCACTGGGTTTCAACTCAGTTTTGGCAGCTGGAAGGGGAGAGGCAGCGGGGATGAGATGGTGCTGGGTCAGGACTGGATGTGGACTCAGCTGAGATGCAGAAGGGCAGAGGGATGGTTAAATTAAGTGCCTGAATCCACCACAAATGGAGAAGCAAAGGGTATGGGGGACAAGGAGGATCGGAGATGTCCCCCAGCCCAGCTGCAGGCAGGACACAGCCCTCGTGTCCTTCCACCTCACAGACAATTAAAGCAAAAGAGGGTTTTTCTTCCAACACCCCCCAGGAGGGGAGCCATCAGGCTGGTTCTGACCTCAGACGGTGGCAGGAGGAGAGGTGACAGACGTTGGTGAAGATGGGGAGAGACCAGAAAGCCCCCACAGCCTGGGCTGTGTCCCCAGCAGGGCAAGGGGGGGATTCTGCCCCTCTGCTCTGCTCTGGGGAGACCATCCCCCATAGTGCTGCCTCCAGCTCTGGGGCCACCAACAGCAGAAGGACATGGAGCTGTTGGAGCGGGGCCAGAGGAGGCCCCGGAGATGCTGGGAGGGCTGGAGCCCCTCTGCTGGGAGGGGGGGCTGAGAGAGTTGGGGCCCCTTCCAGTCCCTAAAGAAGGGGGGCTCCAGGAAAGCTGGGGAGGGACTCTGGATGAGGGAGGGGAGCCAGAGGAGGAGGGGGAAGGGTTTGACCCTGAAAGAGGGGAGATTTAGGAAAGATCTCAGGAAGAACTTGTTTGGTGGGAGGGTGGTGAGAGCCTGGCCCAGGTTGGCCAGAGAAGCTGTGGCTGCCCCATCCCTGGAGGGGTTCAAGGGCAGGTTGGAGGGGGCTTGGAGCAACGTGGTGTGGTGGGAGGTGTCCCTGCCCAGGGCAGGGGGTGGCACTGGGGGGGCTTTAAGGTCCCTTCCCACCCAAACCATCCTGTGATTCTACGACTCTCAGCCAGAGGAAGAAGAGTCAAACGGGGAGAGCGCGGCCTCACCGCTGTGTAGGGACAGGTGCCGCGTCGGCGTGGACGCCCCATCGAATATTGCTCTGTCCAAGAAGTCAATCGTGGACTCAGTGTAAACAATCTGGAAGACTTGGCTGAGAAGCGAGCACAGCTCCTCGGCTGTCACCTGGGGAGGGAGCAAAGAAAGGTCAGTGCGAGGCAGAAGACATCATGGTGGTCTTCCTCTTTGGCTCCCTGCAGTGGACACACCATGGGGGCTGCAATTGTCTTCCCAGCGAGGACACGGAACCCACTCATCCCAGATCCAGGACACTGCCCAAGCCACAGGGTCTTCAGGGCTGGAGGTGACAAACCTCAAATCTCACTCCTTCCTCCTGATATCCCCTGGGCTTCTTGGTGCTGGAGGAGATGAACAACTCCTGAGACATACCACCCCTCCTCATCCTCCCCACCCCTCATCATCCTCCCGCCCCACTGGAGGAGCATCCCAGCCCTCTTCAACTGCCCAATCCCAAGAAACAGCAGATTGGATGCTCTCTCATCAACTCACAGCCATCAATTAGCACCCAGATTTCATGCTGATGTTCTGTCCTACTCCTCCCTTCAGCTCCCTGGGGTTTTGGCTACATAACCTACATCCCAAATAGGTGCTGGCACCCCAGAGAGGGTCAGAGCTGAAAACAAAGGGTTCCTGCTGTAGAAGTAGGAGGACACAGGCTGAGATCAAAATCTTTGGATCCGGATACCAACTGAAACAAAATTTCCAGGTCAGCATCAGGGAAATGTCCCAGTTTGCAAAATCCTATTGTGGGAGAGATTCAGTTGCCTTCCCAGCTTTCCTGCTGCTGGAAAAAGCTCTGGGCAGCAACACCACCAAGGGAAAACCATCTCCTGATACCTTCTCATGTCCAAACCAGGTCCTGGGGCTGGGGCAGTGACCAGGTTTTCTCCCCCAGGAGGCACCTCATGTGCCAGCAAACTCCAACCCACACCCCACACTTTAAAAACGTGTCACACAACCTACAGTGCAAACACCTGGTCACACAACAGAGGGGACACTTGGTGAGAGCAAGATGAGGCCACCCTGGGGCTCATTGTGTCTTCATCATCAACCTGAGAGGTCGTGGCCACGCCGCTCTAAGAGCCAGAAAACCTCCCAGTCATCCCAGTGTTGTGGCAATCAGAGAGTGACTCCGGAGGCCACCCCGAGGTGGGACAGAGTTTTAGTAGAGTGTTTCCAGTCTTACTTTATTCTCCGTAGCCAGGACCACCAAGCAACAGGCTTCGACAGGGACCACCCCGCTCTCAGACAGCGAGCCCGAAGTAAGGGCTTTGGAGCTCTCGGCACAGAGACTTTGGCTCGGGGAGATCCCAGGGTCCTGAGCTGAGAAAGAGAAAAGTCGTGATGGGAAGGTGGAGGCAGGGAGAGGACAGCCAGGAGAGGACATCAGGAGCCCGCAGCCAGCAGGAGGGAGCTCTCAGGAGGCTGGTAACTCCACCTGAACAGGGCTAAAATGAAGCTTATAAATGAAAAAACCTATAATTTATAGAATCGTAGAATCATAGAATTTCCCAGGCCGGAAGGGACCTCCAAAGGCCATCTAGTCCGACCCCCCCGCAGTCAGCAGGGACACCCCCAACTAGACCAGGTTGCCCCATATAGCCTCTCCTTGAATATCTCCAGGGATGGGGCCTCAACCACCTCCCTGGGCAACCTGTTCCAGTGCTCCACCACCCTCACAGTGAAGAACCCTCTCCTCATCTCCAGTCTCAATCTGTTCCCCTCCAGCTTGAAGCCATTGCCCCTCATCCTGTCACTGCAGCCCTTTCTAAACAGGCTCTCCCCAGCCTTCCTGTAGGCTCCCTTCAGGTACTGGAAGGCTGCTATTAGGTCTCCCCGGAGCCTCCTCTTCTTCAGGCTGAACAACCCCAGCTCCCTCAGCCTGTCCTCGTAGCAGAGGTGCTCCATCCCCCTGATCATCCTTGTGGCCCTCCTCTGGACCCTCTCCATCAGGTCCATGTCCTTCTTATATTGAGGGCTCAATTTAGAGCCAGTTTCTGACAACTCTGTAAACTCTGTAAAACGCTGCCTTCGTTTCCACGGCTGAGCCACCCTCAGAAAGCCACCAGCAGAATTACAACCTTCTAAGTCACTTACTCATTTATTCTACAGCCTGTCCTTTGCTGTCGCAGGGCTTATAATCCCATAAATCTCTGTCATTACATCTTCTAAGTGGCTCAGCCTCCCCCAGACACTCCAGCCCCTAAACCACTCAGGTTTGACACACGTTGAGCTGCTGGGGCTGGATTTGATATTTCCCCGGGTGTTACAAGAAGTGAGGTGTGGTGGGTATCACCCTGGTTGTTCAACATGGGCATTTAGACACCCAGGACTGCAATGAAATCCTCCTGGAAACCTGCACAAGAAGAGCAGGGTAGGACCCAACACACACAGGGACCAGCTGGAGGAACTGCCTCTACTTGCTGAGGTCCTTGCTGAGCAGGATGGGCAGCACAGAACAAACTACACCAAAATTTTGGCATCAAGATGCCAAATTTTCCTAAAAGTCATTAAATGACAGCTCTTGTGCGAGTCCCAGCACCCTCAGGGGAACACGCATGAACCCAGTCCCTCCTGAACCCCTCCTAGAAAGGGATGGACCAAAACAACTCAAGGCAGGAGATGAGATATAAGAAAGAAATGTTTTATGCTGAGGGTGGTGAGACCCTGGCCCAGGTTGCCCAGAGAGGTGGGAGATGCCCCATCCCTGGAAACATTCAAGGTGAGGTTGGATGGAGCTTTGAGCAACCTGGTTTGGTGGGAGGTGTCCCTGCCCAGGGCAGGAGGGACACTCGATGGTCTTTAAAGGTTCCTCCCCACCCAAACCATTCTATGAAGGACACTGTTGTAGGCCGTTCTCACCCAACATCTCCTTTGTCCTTGGTCAGGCTGGTTGCTGTCCTACCTGAGGACAACACTGGCTGCTGTGGGGCTTGGCCTCACAACCCCAAACACATGGCAACCCCAAACCAGGAGGTTCCAGCCTGTCCATACTGGCCACAACCTACCTGTTTTCAGCACGACCAAGTGAGAGGAGTCGTCTCGGATGTAGGAAACGGACGCGATGTCGTGGATGGGGACCCTGAGGATGAGATCTTCTCCGTCCCTCCACACCAGCTTGATGTTGTAGGCAGAGAGACTGATGACAGCATCGTGTTCTTGGGTCAGCTGCCCTGGGAGCTGGTGTGCTCTCTAAAAATAAACATATTTCCATGGATAAGTTGAACTGTTCCCACTTTTCTAATGGTCTGGTAATGGGCTTCCCTCCCAGGGGATGGAGGACATGAGTCAAGAGCAGCACCCAGCCTTGAGGAAGCTCCAAAAGCCCTTTTTTTTTTTTTTAGGAAACGGACGCGATGTCGTGGATGGGGACCCTGAGGATGAGATCTTCTCCGTCCCTCCACACCAGCTTGATGTTGTAGGCAGAGAGACTGATGACAGCATCGTGTTCTTGGGTCAGCTGCCCTGGGAGCTGGTGTGCTCTCTAAAAATAAACATATTTCCATGGATAAGTTGAACTGTTCCCACTTTTCTAATGGTCTGGTAATGGGCTTCCCTCCCAGGGGATGGAGGACATGAGTCAAGAGCAGCACCCAGCCTTGAGGAAGCTCCAAAAGCCTTTTTTTTTTTTTTCTCTGTTTATCTTAGATAGATAAACAGCAACCTGAGCCCTCACCTTGGCGTTATCGATCAAATGCAGGATTTCCGTGCGACTGGAGGGATTCAGGTACCCTGGGATGGACGTGAGTTGACCTAAATACTGGAAAAGAAGAACCAAATTATTATCACATCACATTTGTGCCAAGCACATCCCCAAACAGCAGAAGACAGACACCACCAACTCAACACAAAGGGCTTGGTGCCCCAAACCCCTGCTTAGAAGCTGCTAAACGCACCTACATACGGAAGATCCCTCATGTCTTTAAGTTATAATAATGTTATGGCCTCAAGTTGCCCCAGGGGAGGTTCAGGCTGGATATTAGGAAAAAAATTTTCACTGAAAGGGTTCTCAGCCATTGGAATGGGCTGCCCAGGGAGGTGGTTGAGGCACCATCCCTGGAGGTGTTCAAAAGACGGGTTGATGTAGTGCTGGGAGGGATGGTTTAGTGATGATGCTCCTTGTTTGTTGTGTGGGTGTCTATTTTTGTCAGTTAGGTTGATGGTTGGACAAGATGATCTTTAAGGTCCCTTCCAACCTAGAAGATTCTGTGATTCTGTGATATGAGCCCCAGCCTGGCAGAATTTACCTTCACTTCTTTCTCGATGTAGTCGTTGAGCAGCACGTCCGGCTCGACGCGGTCGGGCAGGGCCACCACCACCGTATGCAGAGGCCGGCGCTCCGTAACCTTCTCCTGGGCTTTTTTATCCCGACCTTTTTCGCCTTTCAGGAAGACTCGTTTGAAAGGAGACACTATTCCAGGCTGGGGAGAGAAAAAGGGAAATGTTGAGTGAAGGGTGAGAGAGGGATTTTCTGCACCAAAATGGGGGGGAAACCGGCAGAACCTGCTCCAGCCCCAAACATCTGAGTTTTCCCAGCCCCAACCACCCCGTGGACGGGCTGGTTTTAGAGCTACGAATCCAAAAGTGCATGATTTTCCACTGAAATCCCCTTTCCTGCAACGTGTTGCTAGAATACAAGTGTTAATAACCTCCTTTTACCAAAACAGGGTAATTTTACCCCCAAAGTCAGGATGTCCAACCTTTCAGCTAAAAAAAACACCCCACAAATATATACTCAGATTAAGAGGCGTAAGAGTGAGCGAGCAAAATCTAGAGGCTTCCTTCTCACCTTGGTGCAACTGAATATCTTACCCAAGCATTTGAGATGAGGAATTCGAGGAAAGATTAAAAAAAAAGGGAAAGGCAGAGATGCTGCCAACTTGTCTGAGGTCTCCCAGGAGACCCACAAACGTGAGTACAGGACCCAGAAGATGGTGTCCCCCGGGAAAAACAGGTCCTTGTGGCTCCCAAAGCATTGAGTGTTGGGTTTGGAAGAAGGTCGGAGTCGGGCAGCGTGCACACACGGGCTCCCAGCTATAGAGGGAGCATCACAACCATCCTTCCACCACCGGTCTTCTACTGGGTCGTAGGGTGGACACTGCACACCCAGGGATGGTCACGGCAGAGCCAACCCACAGTAGATCCTCACCAAGCTCCACACCAACCTCCCCAAAGGATAAACGACCGGGAGTGAGCGTAAACTTCTCCAATTCCAAGTTTAGCAGCTCAAAGGAATGTTTTGAAGTAGGGAGATCCAGCACGCAGGATTCATAGAATAAGAGAATGGTTTTGGGTTGGAAGGGACATTAAAGCCCCCCCAGTGCCACCCCCTGCCCTGGGCAGGGACACCTCCCACCAGCCCAGGTTGCTCCAAGCCCCCTCCAACCTGCCCTTGAACCCTTCCAGGGATGGGGCAGCCACAGCTTCTCTGGCCAACCTGGGCCAGGCTCCCACCACCCTCAGGGGGAAGAATTTCCTCCTCAGATTTCACCTAAATCCCCCCTTTTTCAGCTTAAAACCCTTCCCCCTCGTCCTCTGGCTCCCCTCCCTCATCCAGAGTCCCTCCCCAGCTTTCCTGGAGCCCCCCTTCTTTAGGGACTGGAAGGGGCTCCAAGGTCTCCCTGGAGCCTTCTCTTCTCCAGGCTGAACCCCCCAACTCTCTCAGCCCCCCCTCCCAGCAGAGGGGCTCCAGCCCTCCCAGCATCTCCGGGGCCTCCTCTGGCCCCGCTCCAACAGATCTACATCCTCAACAGCATCCCTCCCCCCAGAGCCGTGCTCAGGTGCACACATGGGACCTGCTCCCATCAGGTGGCTTCAGCCTCTTCTCCTTGCTTTTCCCAATGCAGATGAGAGTGAAAGATCCCCAGGAACAGGAGAGCTCAAAGCCAGACCGAAAGAATTTGAAACCCTTGTATTAGGATGGGAAAATGGGATGGAAAAGCTCCTGGTTGAACGGTTTTCACCAAATCCCAGAGTGAGCCAGGCGTCATGAGGACATCGGGGACAGCCTGGCCCTGAAACATGTCCCTTGGACCAGGGAGATAAAAATAGAGCGAGTTTATAGGACAAATGGGATAGAAAATGCAGCTAAATGATGCTGGCCTGATGAAACAGCTCTGCCTTCATAGCAGCAGGACCAGAAGTGCAGATTTTGGGGCCAGAATCCCTCTTTTCAGCTGGGATCCCAAACCGGAGCATGTCCCTGCACCGTGCAACCCAGCTGGCTCCTGCCGAGGGGCTGGGAGACCACTCCTGGCCCCAGAAAGGAGAAAATCCTGAAAGAAACGGGTCTTTTTGCCAAAACCAGAGTATGGGGCTCGACCCCAGCTCTGCCACCCCAACGACGAGGGTGTCCGACCTCAAACCCGGGCTGTCGGTGCAGAAAGATCTCGTTCCACCAGCATCTTTTAGGAATCAAAAGCATAAAGATGGGAGAAATACGCTGTGGGGGTCAGGGCTGTACCACAACAGCCCCCCCGGACACGTCCCCCTCCACCAGCCCAGCTCTGGCTCCAATTCACCTCTTCCAGCCCGATCTAAACCAGAAGAAACTCATGGTTTTCCCCTCGAGGACGCAGGTGGAATCCAAAGGGCTGGGAAGACGCTGTGGAGGGATTCCCCGCCACCCCGAGCCCCCCAGGGGGAGGATTTGGGGAGCTCCAAATCCCAGGCGGAGGCGTCCTCCTTCCCCCCCACCCAACCTTGACGTGACGCAACGCGGAAAAGCAGCTTCTGCATTTTCTGGCAGAGGATCTAAAACCAGCAGCACCCACCTCGTTCTCCATCGAAATACCCGGCTACGGGAGAGCGGAACCGAAGCCTTGGGTGGTTTCTTCACCGAAAGCACCTCCTGGGGCTGGGGGAGAAAAAACTGGGACCCTCAGCTCGGAGGGGTTTCTGAAGGGCTGGTGAAGCCACCGGCTTTCATTCGCCTGCCGGCTGGTGGCCAGGAAGTCGCAATAACCACAGCTTCCTCCTGCTCCGCGCAGCGACGGCGACAAAACCAAGTCGTTGGGGAAGAATTCGGTGAGGTTCGGCAGCAACGGGGCCGGGCGCGAGGCGAGGAGAGGAGCAAAAACCCATTGCGCAAAGTTCCACCCCATTCTCAGGTCCCACACCCCTAAAACCCTAGAAACTCCCCCCAAAAAATACCCTTTGTGGCTGTAGCCAGGATGGAAATAACCCCCCAGCCCACAGGAGTCTTTAACCCTGGTTTCTCCTCCCAGTTTCAGAGCTACTTTGTTCTCCAAGGTCCAACAACATCCATGGAGACCAAGGGCTGTAAAGCCTTTTTAAGGCCCATATTTTGAGTTGTAAAGTTTCCCGTTAGGAAAGCAAAGCTCAGAAATGAGGTTAAAAGCTCCCAGGCCTCCCAGGAGGCACTTTGAGAGAGCACAAAGCATTCAAGCGAGCCCCTGCTGGGCTCCGACGCGAGGCCAGGAGTTGGGCTCAGAGGATTAATGAAAGCAAGTTGCTAATTGCACAGATGGAGAATCAAATTAAAAAAGGCGATGGCGGTGATTTCCCCGATGAAATCCACCCATCGAGCAGAGGCAAGAAGGAGGTCGGTTAAAGAAGGACCCGAAGACCTGCTGCTTGCACCGAGCAGGTTCCCATCCGGGGGATGCTGCAGAGGAGAGAAGGATCCCATTTCTCCTTAAAACCCATAAAATCAAAGTTTGTTCTCTATTTTTCCCCCCCTTCCTTGCCCACGATTGCAATCCCCAAAGGTGATTTCCCAGCCCACCACCCTTGCGAGGTGGTCTGGAGGCATCTTCTGCAGCATCTGCCGCAAAAGCCCCAGGGCTCAGCCAAAAAGACCATCCCAGCTGCCAGGAGCTCCTTCCCAAACCTCCATGGTTTGGTCCTCAAAAGCATTTATGGCTTGAATTCAGGAGAAGAGGGAGGGAAGGGGTTACACGAACACCTTGTGTGACCCAGGACTTGGCATTTCATGGAGACAGGGCAAGATGGTTACTCCTCAGGGCCTCCTGCTGCCGACGGCTCCAAAATTCAGGAGGAAACCAGTCATTTCAGGAGGAAAATAGTCATTTCATCCACTTAATGAGGCATTTTAAGACTTAAATCATTGAGGGAGAGCGTCTCAAAGCTGGGTTTAACCCACCAGGCCACACTGACAGGGAAAGGCCCACCATCAGGCAGGGGAGGGGGCTCTAAGAAGAACATCAGCCAGGCTTTGGTTGGATTTTTTTGGGGGAGATCCAGCTCATCTAATGTATGTTGATGTAAGTTTAAATGAGGAACACTGGTGAGGAACCAGGATCCTCCAAAAATCCCAGAACCAGGACCCATGGCTCTGCTGCCACCAGGTTCCAGGGACACTCCTGGCCACGGCCAACCCCTCCTGGTTTTGGTGGCCAAGGTGGAAGAGATGACCTCATCTGAGCCACCTGCTGCTGCTCCAGGGGCTGCAAACTCAACGGAAATAGGACAAACACTCAGGAAAAAGCCAGTGAGTCCTGGCCAGGGCAGGTTGTTAAACCAGTAATTAATCTCAGGAAAAACAGCCCGACCCATCCTTAAACCTTCAAGATGCTGTTGAAGAAGGAACCTCCATGTTCTCTTCCCCTTGAAAGCTCTCAGGGTGATCGGGGATGTGAGGAGTTAAATCAAAGGCGTTTGTAACCTCATTAATATCCCCCATCTCACAACACAGAGACTTCAAAAACCACTTTATTTGGTGACCCAAATAAGCAGCCCCCACCCTCGAGAGGGCAAGACCAGGGCTCTCATGGTGTAACTCCAGTCCCACCAGAGGTAGGATGACCAACAAGGTGCACCTTCCCCTTCCTGCTGGGAAAAAAGCAGGGTAATCCCTGGATCAGAAGCAGCACCCACTTCAGTACGAAGAATTTAGGGAAAATTAGGGAAAAGGAAGAATTTCCACTTCATTTAGAGCATTATTACTCCAGCTGGAGCATCAAGGTGGTTTTTTTTTTAAATTTCTTGGGCTGCTTTCACCCTGGACGCATCCAAAAAATCAATGGGGTCTTGGACATCTCCTTTAAATTCGTTCAACCCCTTTGAGTCAAACACAAAGGAGAAAGAGCATCCCCCTCCTTAGGAGCAGAAACCGCCTCTTAATCCCCCTGGAGTGGATTAACTCAAATGCAAATGTGTAAGGCTAATTATCCCCCAGGAGATTAGAGTTCTTAAAAGCCACCCAGTGCTGGCCAGGGTGTCCCCAGGGACACCCCACATCCCAAATCCAGTTATCCTGGTCCTAAAAGGGAGCACTGAGGACGGAGAAGGCTCAGCTCCAGGAAGCATCCGCACAAAGGCAGAGGGTGATAGCGGCTGTGGGTGAAATAATTAATTAATCAAGCCCAAAGGGGCTCCAAGTCAGCTCAGTGCTGGTGGAGGAAACCAGGAGAAGGACCCCAGTGGAGCAGGTGGAAGG